CTTGGCCAATCCATCTTGTTGGGGGTCTTCTTCTTTTCCTAGATTTTTAATGTTTTCCCCTTGCAAGCTCATATTCTCCTTGCAATTCCAACCAAATAGACTGCTAATGTATATTTTGGAGAAAGCCTATGCCCTAGTTTGTGTTTATCCTAGTGAATTTAGGGACAGTTGGGAGACTGCCCTCATTGGCACTACTACCTGGACTAGACCACTGCCTATTTGCAATCCTTCCACCAATCAGGCAACCTTGCCCACTAAGAAGGCCCTGTTCCTCTGCCCAGGCAGCAGCTCTCTTCTCAGAGCTAAGTCTCCCTTGGTTGTAACCACGTACACAGGAGAGGCAGCTGAAGATATGGAAACATACAACATCCGGTCATCTGTATGTATTTTTTTGTTAGTCCTCCCCATTCAGCTGACTGTAGCACCACCCTGTGGTAATCAGGCCCTTCTTTGATGCTGGACTGTCACTTATTTTCTGCCTTGCAGAAAATCAACAGGGACTCAGTCACTTCCTGTCTCTCAACAAACTGTTCACAGGTTTTATGTTATTTTCTTAGATTCAGTGTTTCTCTTGCTCCTTCCTACATGATTACAAGAATTAAGTTGGGGAAAGATGAGTTTACCATCTTATCAGAAATTGGAAGTCCTGATTTTTCATTGTTGTTATTTTCCCTGTGGAAGATTACAATTCCGTGGAGGGGGTCAATGTGCAGTGCGTCCCTGTTCTTTACAAGCAATGTTAAATAGTAAAAAATGCTTACAGGGAGGTTACTTATACAAATCTTGCATGCATGTTTTGTTCTTTTTGTTGCAATAAATTCTGTAAAATTGTTTTTCTTTGAAGGACGAATGAAAATTGCAGTGATTTACTTAAATATACTAACATAATTTGTCAATCCCATTTGTTTCCCAGAAACTGGTGGAGGGGAGTATTAATTATATGGTGAGCACCAGAGGACTTACAGGCTAAAAAGGAATTTAACCAAGCATCTTCTAAAAGTATATTATAGCAAAGAAAATTTTATTATCCATCCTCTATGAACATTTAACTCGTTGTGTGAATTACATGAGTCATTTATGAGGAAGCACAGTACGATGTTTATGAAGTAGACTTAAGCTCTAGTCCCTATTTTCCTTCATGTGACTTTGGGATATTTAAACTAACACCGCATATTAATAATAATAATCCTCTTAACTAATAACCATAAAATTGCTTATCTCAGGTACTATATTTTTCCTAAAATTTTCATTTTACTCTATATTCAATTTTTCTGTTGAGCTTTACTAATTTATTTATGATTAAGGTGAAAGTTTACAGAGCAAATCATTTTTTAATTCAATAAATTTTACATTTTATTTTGTAACATTAGTTGCAATTCCTGCTACAGGTAAGAACATTCTTTCCACTTCCCCCCTGGGTTCCTTCTATTTGCCTTGCTTTCCTGACCCTTTCTGCCTCATGAGTTTTGTTTTGAAGACAAATGCTGCCCTTTTGGTCTCCTATGGTTATTGTTTGGGGAATTATGTTCCTCATGAGTGTTATTGTTTACTTTATAGGCCTGTTGTTAGGCTGCAAGGTTATACCCAGGGGTGGGTTTAGTTGCAGGTTTGAAGTGTGTCTATCTTTTTGATTACAGTATATTTTCCTTTACTGCACTGAATATTAAAATCATGTTTTTATTGATTACAGTGTATTTTCCTTTACTTCACTGACTATTAAAGTCATCATCTGATATTTCAACATCTGAGTCATCCTTCATTTTCCTCTGTTATCTTCTCCTTTAATAATGAGCTCTATTTTCTTGCTATTTTGCATGTCAAGTAATTTTGGATTATGCTCTGGTCAATATGAATCTTATGTTGTACAGTCCCTGGATTATGTTATGTTTCACTGGAAAATACTGATGCTTTTGTTTCAGCAGAACAATAACTTGGTTATGAGCAAAGTGAAAATTCTTGCTTGGTAACAGCTTAAATCTTGCTTCTTTTATCCGGGCTACTTGCATTGTCTGCATTGTGGATTGAATTGTGTCCTCCCAAATATGTACTGAATTCCTGAAATTTGTATTTATGGATGTAATCATATCAGGAAAGGGATTATTATTATTATTATATTAATGAAGTCATACCAGCACAGGGTGGATTCTAAACCTAATCACTCCTAAATTATAAATGTATATCCGGGAAAGACAGATGCAAAGTGAGAATCATCTATAAACCACAGAATGCCAAGGAACCAAGGAACACCTAGGGCTACTGACAAGGAAGGAATTGACATGGCTGAGGTTCTGACTTATACTTTAGCCTCCAGAACTGTGAGACAATTTCTGTTCTTTAAAGCCAATCACCTGTGGTATTTGTGTTTCAGCAGTACAAGGTTATTAAGACACTCTGTTTCCATGCTATTCAAATCAAAACAGAATTTAGTCAGAGATTAAGGTATCATTCACATAGAGTTTAAAACCCTACCAACCCACTACCAGCAAGTAGATTCCAGTTCATAGAAATCCTGTATAGTTTCGGATGCTGTAAATCTTTGCAGGAGCAGAATGTCTCATCTTTCTATTGTGGAGTGGCTGGTGGGTTTCAATGGATGACCTCTTGATTAGCAGTCCAGTGCTTATCCTACAGCGTTACCAGGATTCCCTTCCTCTGGATATTTTTTTGGAATTCTTTCTGGTTCTTCAGACAGAAAAAAACATTTTCTATGGGATTTTTCCCATCCTGCACTGCACTGCAATTTTGGTCTGTGAGTTCTGGTAGTGGTTACAAATCGGGCTGCTAACCTCAGGATCAGCAGTTCAAAACTACCAGCTATTCCGCGGGAGAAAGATGAGGCTTTCTGCTCCCGTAAAGATTTACATCCTCGGAAACCCTGTACAGGGTCACTATGAGTCAGAACCGACTCCATGGCACATAACAACAACAAAACGTAGTCCTGGTGTGGTGTGGTAGGATAAGTACTGGACTGCTAACCTGAAGGATGACAGTTTAAACCCATCATCTACTCCTTGGGAGACCTATATAGGGTGGCTAGGAGTCAGAACTGACTCGATGCCATTTAACATAGGGTCCAAGCTAGTGAGATGGGAAATTCATTTTAGTTTGGTCATTTCTTTCAAATTTTTACTTCCCCTAAATATCTCTTTTCACTTTCTGGAGACCAGGTAGTATTTTTTTTTTTTGTCTACAGTTTATAGCTGTGAGTGTACATACTCACACATACCACAAGGTTGGTGGTTTGAGCTTTAATAGTAGGTCCATGGGATTAAGATGAGAATTTCTGCTCCCACAAAGATTTATGACCTTAGAAGTAAGTCTTACACAGGATCACTGAGTCATAGTCCACTTGCTGACAGTGGGTTTTTTTGGTTTTCTAGGTTACCTTGAGCACAACTATGGTAGGTTGTGCTGTAACTATACAAACAAGTTAATGTTTCATTGGCCTTTTTAAAAACCTTAAGATTTTCTTTAAAACATCAACAGTGTAAAATCCAGTTTAAATCAATATGGTAATTATATTTATCTTAGCAAGGAAGCATTTTCATTGTATTTATTTATTTTTAAAACAGAAATAACCTTTGCATAATTTACATCCCATACAAGAGATAACTGGGATTCATTCTCAGCCAGAAAAATTCCTTCATGGTGTCCTTTTTCATCCTTCCTGTGTCCTTTGTAACAGAAAATTACCAGCAGAAGCATTTCCTCTGTACCCAGTTCCTGCTTTCTTATCACAGTTCTATCCTTCCACCCTCCCTTCCGGCACTGCTTAGGAATGTGAGAAGGCAGGAAAAATCTCTAGAAGTTTGTCCTCTATACAACACCACTGTATTCAAGTGTAGAATGCTTTTTACTTATTTATCAGTTTCCTTCCATTTCTTTTTCGATACCTCTTTACATGGACAATGTATTAATGGCGAAATTCTTGTTCACTACAGCACTTTCAAACCTCACAATCCATTCAATGTGCCACACTGTTCCGTTAATAGTTTGAGGTTCTTTTCTAGTGCCCCTTCTCCAATGCTGGGTAGAAATGGGGTGGGTGGGGTGGAGGCCAGGGTGGAGAGACAATGTTAAGATGAGCATTAAGAGTTTTCCTATCTGTGGGAAACTTTTCCCATTACCCTTTTCCTACCAAACATTTTTAACTTCTCTGCCACCCTTCCTGTATCTTCCTCTCATAAGTTACCAACTACTGAAATTCTGTTCAAAATTGTTTATACAGTATACATTAATCCATTCCATTTTAACAATCCTGATGAAGCAGGCAGTAATAACAGATAGCATTTATTGAGCGCTTACTATATGCAGAGTATTTTACATGTGTCAATTCATAGAATTTTATGAGCTTATTCTTCTATTTTATAAAGTAGTCGATGTTCAGTGCTGTGAATTACACTGTTGGTAACTGGCAAAGGCAGGATTTGGAACCATGTCCAACTGGACCTCAGCTGTTATTGTTAAATACCATGGAGTCAATGTTGGCTTGTATAGGGTTTCCTAAGGGGAGGCCTGAACTGCAGACCTAGGACTCCAGCACTGTCTTCACATAATCCAGTCACTGCACAATCATTATTTTCATTACCTATCTGGTGGATAAAACGTTTTGCCCTCGCATCTCCAATATCCTTACCCTTATATCCCCTTTGTCCTCTTCCTCCCTCTTTGTCTCCTCACTTCCAAGTCCCTTCTGAGGCCCTTCTTCCTACTATCTGTCCCACATTCCTCTCATCTCATCTCCTTGCTATCTCATTTTCTTTGACCTTTCCCACATTACAGCTTCAGTCATCCCCGGGTCCCAGATCCTTGTCCTTTTCTGTCTCTAGAGACCTACGTCCCAGAGTGTTTCCTTATTCCTCTCGTCTATTTCTAGGATTTCCTCTTCTTCCAGAGTCCTAGCGCCTGCCGACTCTCAGGATCATCACCACGGGAACTGTCACCTCCCTTTCACCGCGCCTAGAGACAGCGGCGGGAACGTAGGAGCGCTGGGCGTACAGGCCAGCCTGTGAGGGGGGCGCCGCGGGGTCCGCCGGCTCCCCGGCAGCCCCCGGGCGCGGTGCAGTTTGGGGGAACATGGCCGCTTCCGGTCTCCCTCCCGGACCGGCGCTCGCCTGACAGCGGCCCCGGCCCAGAGCACTCCGCCCTCAGCTCTTCCCGCCCCTCAATCGCGGAGGTCGTTTCAGCCTCTCCCTCCAGCGACCCGCTCCGCGCCATGGAGAAGAGCTCCAGCTGCGAGAGTCTTGGCTCCCAGCCGACTGCGGCGCGACCGCCCAGCGTGGACTCCCTGTCCAGGTAATCGGGACGCCCCGGGCCCCGCCCCATTTCTCGTTCTAGGGGGATGGAGCGGGGACGAGGACCGACTAGTTGGCGCCTCAGCCTGCAGATTCCGGCTCCTGAATGCTGCTCCGGAATTCTTTCCCTGGGACTTGGGAACGGAACCACTTCTTCCTCCCTCTCTGGGAAAAAGGAGGTTAAAACTCGCTGCTGCTTTAGCGCCTTCTTGATCTTTCGTGTACCCTTGTAGTTTTCTCCCCTGTCGAGGTAGCCCCTAGTTCATTTCTTTCTGTTTTTCTTCATTCCCTCTTAAATCTTGTTGTAGACAACCCTTCCCCCACTTTTCCCCCCTTTTCATTTCCTCCTTGCTTTTCTCATTCTTAACTACACTTTCTTATCCCATTCTCCAGTTATTTTCTAGTCTTTATTTTTTTCGTTTTTGATTTTTGCCCAACCCTTTCCTGTGTCCCATCACTTCCTTGCCTCTTGCACGCTTTTCCCTTCGCTCTAATTTTCATCTTTCTCCAACTTTTAAAAAATACGCAAATAAAAATGTTCTCTGCTGCTTTTTCTAAAATTTTCCACTGAAGATCTGTGTCGAGGAATCTGAGTAGCTCTTATTCTGGAGTGGTGATTTTTTACCTTTGTTGGGCTATAGGTTCTCCAGGTTGTCATTTCCTTCTACCAGATGAAATTTTTATCCTGAGATTTTGAGGATGACTTTAGTCATATGCAGCATTTGTGAATATCATCTAGACGTATTTTGGGTGCACTGTTTTACTTTGGTTGTAAAATAGTGATTTACAATTGGATTAAGTAATTGTGAATGTTACAAAGCTACAATGAAATCAGGTCCTTGTCCATTGAAAAGTGGTCTCATTATTTGAGCATTAACGCATGCTAAACTGTGGTGTGAAAATGAAATCTTTTCATCCCCACCCTTCTGTCCTCTTCGCCACCTCTAATGATATGAAGTGGCCCTTCTGCTAAATATGGTTCTGGCATTTTTATTTAGTTTTTTCCTTTTGGTGATTTTGGGGTATCACTAGCTTGATACCACGATTTTTTATTAAATTATTTCTAAATGTAAGCATCGTACCTCCCCCCCATTTTCAGAGTCCTTAATCATGATTTAATTATCTTTTTAAGTAGATTATAAGCTTACTTGAGGGCAAATATCGTATCTTAATCATTTTCATACCCCCAGCTCTTAACATAGCCCATGCATACATTGTTGTTATTATAAAGTACCTTCGAGTTGGTTCGGACTAATAGCCACCCTATTAGGGTTTTCAAGGAGCAGCTGGCGCGTTTGAACCTCTGACATTTAGGTTCAAACCGACCTTGCGGTCCAATGCATATCCTGCAGCGCCTTCAAGTCAGTTCAGACTCTGAACGACCTTTATGCAGTGTTTGTAAGGTGTGGCTGAAGCTCGCCACTGCAGCTGCTTCTTGAAAACCCTATAAGGGTCGCTATAGGTCAGAACCGACTTGACCGCTGCACTTACCTACTTTGTAGTTAGAAGTCCAGTGCTTATCCTAGATTGAATTATCCAGGAGAGAAGAATGTATGCTTGCATTCAGTTATATACATTACATTTATTTCAAGAAGTTAAAAAATTTTTTTTTGGAAAATTAGTCATTACTGTGAAAGTTATAAAGACAAGCATTTGCATGCTCAGTTGTAAGATCCCTCATTCAGAAAACAGATTGGAAAATAATAATATGTGAAAGTTACAAATGACAGTAGTTCAGAATAGAATATGAAGAAAATAAATGAGGCAAGGAGTCATCTCATCCAAGGGTGAGCATTTAGAACTACAGGAGGCAGCACAATGTTTTAGAAGGAACCTAGGACTGAAAATCATGAGGCTCTGGCTCTAAAGTCCCTGGCTCATCTAGGGATGTGCGCTGTATCACTTAATCTTTCTACTCCACAGTTAAGTCATCATTTAAAATAAGGGGGCCTGTCAAGAAAATCGGGGTCCTGGTGTGGCGCTGTAGGATTAACACTGGACGGCACTTAATAACAAATCTAGAAAATCAGTAAAGTCCCTTGCAGCTCAAAAATTCTGTCACTATCTTAATGACAGTATGTAATGCACTGTCGTCAATTAAGATATTCTATTTACAGATAGCCTTTGTTATATATTTTGAAATTATAGTCAGTAAATAACATCTCTTATTATTACAGACCAGTGTACAAAACTGGCTTAAACAGATTTATTTCCTAATTAAAGAGAAAGTCAGCAACTTTCGTTAGAAGCTCATATATGTATTTTAACTTCCTAATAAAAAAATTAAGGAGTTCGTGGTAGCGCAGTGGTTACGAATCGGGCTGCTAACCTCAGGATCAACAGTTCGAAACTACCAGCTGTTCCATGGGGGAAAGAGGAGCCTTTCTTCTCCCATAAAGATTTACAGCCTTGGAAACCCTGTACAGGGTCTCTATGAGTCGGAACCGACTCCACGGCACATAACAACAACAAAAAATTAAGTTACTAACATAAGACTTTGAAAGAAGTTTGATTATAGTATGTTAATCCTATCCTCTCTGGACAAAAATGTTGTTGTTGTTAAATGTTGTTCATAGCGACCCTGTATAAGATTTTTGAGGAGTGACTGGTGAGCCTTAATCGCCTACCCTATGGTTCAAACCAACCTTACTTTCCAGTGCGTTAACCTGCAGTACCACATGACTCCTTAATTCCACAAATAGGGAAACTAGGGAGTCATATTTCTTTCTCTACTCTGAAAGAAAAATATTATTTATCAAATGTCTGCTTGTATAGAAGTCACTCTACTAGATTCGTTCATATTTTGAAATAATCATACCTTTTTATAGCACTCTCTTTAACCAACAGTATATAGAAAGCTTAATTTTAAACTTATTATTGTTGTTGTGTGCCATGGAGTCGGTTCCGACTCACAGCAACCCTGTACAGGGTTTCCTAGGCTGTAAATCTTTACGGGAGCAAAAAGCCTCGTCTTTCTCCTGCGGAACAGCTGGTACTTTTGAACTGCTGACCCTGAGGTTTGCAGCCCGATTCGTACTAATACTAAATCATAGGGATTTGAATCCACAGGATTAGGAACCATGGTTCTAATACCTGTGTCTGCCTACATTGTGTAAATTTTTTACTTTGGTTTTATTAATCTATAAACAAAGCAAAATATAGATGTTTGGATTACCTCATCCTTTTGCAGAAATGTCTTAGTTAAATGTAGTTTAGTTTTTTGCTTTTTTAAATATTTTATTGTGAATTATGTGATAGTTTACATGGGAGAACATTAGTTTTACATTCATCCTATTGTATATCATTTTATTGCCATGGTTACAATCCCCTGCATGTATCATCAACTAACCAAAGGGTATATCCTGCAAGCCTGCCCCTGTCTTCAGCACACAGCCCTTCTCCCTCTCTGGGTGTAGTCTCCAGCCGCTCCATCTTTCCACGTCATCGACTCTGCCCTCCATCTCTGGCATTACTGCTTCTCTGGGTAGGGTCCTGCTCTCTGCTCTTCTCCCTTGATTGTCCCAGGGACCTCAGCTCCTAGACTGCAAAGTTAATCAGTCCCCTCCTTGCTACAAAATGTCCACCTTTACATTCCCAACCTTCACAATCAGTCCTGATAACAATTATTCACTATTGTATCACTAGAGACCTATCTGCATTTCCTTTCATCAGCCCCGCCTAGACAGATTGGATACTACTCAGTGGAGATTCTACCTTCCTCCATGCCCTCTGAATGTAGGTTCACAGATTGGATACTACTCAGTGGAGATTCTACCTTCCTCCATGCCCTCTGAATGTAGGTTCTCTCTTGAAAGCTTGCAAGCCAGTCACTTGCCTTTGTAGCCCCACCACTTTGGGTAGCCAATGTCCAAGTTGCCCTTGCCTGTCTACTCTGTGTATGCAGGGGGTGGGAATGATCCTTGCTGTGAAGATTTGTTTCCTCTTTTGAGCTACTGTATCCATAGGTGTAGGTCAGGTTCTTCAAATTGTATCAGATTACTCTTTTTTTCCTCTTCTTTCTTCTTCTAGTTGAGCTCTGACCATCCAGTCATTGAAGCCAGTGGTATTATCTGCAAGTGTGGGTGTTCTTGTGCATATGCCCTCTCTTCTTATCAGCTGGACGCTTCACTCTCCACTCTAGTCCTCTGTGGCTATGTCACTGACTCTGGGCCCAAGAGTGCCACACTGCTGGCCAATCAGGTCTCCACCCAGATTTGTAGGAGTGTATTGAACGTTGTAGGGTTTAGCTTCATTGCTGTTTTTCCCTCACTTCCCCTTATTGGTGACGAACGTGGTCACCAATCAGAGTGTGTATTCCCATTGAGTCTTAGTCTTGGAAGGGGGTTTGCTCTGCTTTGATGTCTCAAAGGGGCATCAAGGTAAGAGGGGGCCCGACCACTTGCCTTGATGTCTCCTAGGCAAGCAACTTGCCTGTTCTTGCAGCGATCAGTCAGTCTGCCTATATTGTTTTGTTTTTTTCCTGTTGGTCTTTCTTTCAAGAAGTATCTTCTATTCTCTAGCTGCGCCAGACTGGTCTCCTGTCCTTTCAAGTGGAAATTTCCCACCTCTGAAGATCCTGGATGTTGTTCAGGATTCCACCTATAGTCTTATGTAATGCAGAGGCTCTGCAGGCCTATTGGGCACATTGTAGCCCCATTTTAGGCCTATTCCAATCAGTTATAGGCAGAAGACGGACTTACAAGCTTTCTATGGTGATATTTCTGGCTATGTCTTTCTCTCCCTCTCCAGTGTCTATTTTATAATGGCGTTCAAGGGAAAGAAACCAAGATTCCAAAGACAGCCAAGCATCTTAACATTATTTCCCTCCTTTTCCCCATTCCAACCATGTCTCAATCCCTGTATCCCAGAGTCCTGTTGTTTCAGTTTTCTGTTTTTATATGTTTAGTTAGTAAATTGCCTTGGGAATGGATTTTGCTGTTTATTGCAACTGTATGGTTAATAATACTGTTTGTAGTGTATCTTTTATGCATTCAATTGGCA